GTGTGCTCTTCCGATCTCCCCAAAACCCCAAAACCCCGAGAAATTAAACAATTGATAAAGCTTCGTTTAATTAAGAAATCAATAAATTAAATACTCAATTTACAGATAATTATTTATCCACTAATAAACATTCAAACTATCTTTGCATTATTCGAAAATCTTCCAAATCCAATTTAGAACATATCATAGTAATGAGTTGCAAAATCACTCATTGAATTGGTAATATCTAATTACTCTACTGTTTAAGTTGATAATCCTTAAGAATCCTATCTTTTTCACCAATCTCTTTTAGTAACTTAGATATCAATCTTTTTTACTATTCAATTTCCTTAATCATCTACTCTCTCTTATTCGGCAATCTCACTAATTAGTCCTCATTATTATAAGGTTAATTAAAACCTATTTAATCTAAATTCACAATTTAATCTAATTGCTATGACGAACTTTAGCCACTGTTTGATTATTGATGCTGCTGTTATTAATGTTGCTGGAGATTGAAAGGATTGTTGTTGTTGTCCTCCTTATGCTCTGATGCTGTTTTCTAATCACATATATCTAGATTGCTATCATCATTTAAAAAAGAGTCTGAGCCGATCACAAATGCCATGGAAGCTCCAAGGTCATTAAAGTTGTTTTCTCGTAGTATATAAGGGCTTTCAAGTTGATTTTAGTAAAAGTATTGACTCTATGTGAAAGAGTCCTTATTTTCAGATTATTATGAATAACCTCTAAGCAAGCAGTTTGCACTTAATCTTTAGAAATTAGGGGTATACTCATAAACAGGTTTCATTACATTTTACATTAGATATTGATTATTGATAAAGGGAGCTTGTGGCACCTTTTTCATTTGATTTTTGTGAGTCTGGAATTTATACTTCAAATGCTTGTTGTTAAAGTTATTGCATTTATTTTGATTACCTTCCTTTTAGTAGCTTTCCCTATCCTTATTTATTTTTTTATCATATTTTTTATCCCTTGGCCTTTGACAATTACTTTCTATCTATTTCTCCTGCTCTTTTTCCAAGCATTCGATCTTATCCTAATTAATAAATTCCTCTATTGAATTCTAGGGATGTAGGCTGAATCTCTTATGCTTTGAAAATAATCTGCTGGCTATATCCATCTTTGAGGGAGATAAGTCTAGCTAAGGAGGAGGCAAGGTAAATTGGTATTATTGGTTTTCGTTGAAATCCAAATACTGTTTGAACTCCTCTTCCAATTCCAACTTTAACCTCTCTTCCCCATCCTCCTACTCCTCATGAATAGTATGGAGATCTTTAGACTACAAACTTTTCTCTTTAATAGAGAATTGACTGTCCCCCTAGGCAATTGCATTAAATTTCTTAACTTAAGGTGTTATCGTATGAGATTTAGATGAATTCTTCATTTGATAAGTCAACTAAGGAGATCTAAACATGTTCTTAAGATCTGGCTTTTATATTACTAAAGGTTGTTAAGTTCCCTTTCTGTTCCTATTTTTCCGACGTCTTCTCCTCTATACGATTTTATCAGGATTATTTTCACCGAATGTCATGGTTGATTATTTTCTACTGATTTGATCATTAGAGTAAGAGCTATCAGCTAAAGCTCCTGCTAAGTCAGCTGAGTAATCATCGTTAGATAACTCATAAGCTATTGAATTCCTCCTGAAGTCAATCATTGACAAATTCGGAATATTCAATGACTCGTTCATTTGCAGAGGGGCTTGAATCGAAGAGATTAGATCAGAGAAGGAAGGTGGAATTTTTTAAGCTGATGATGCTTTTGCCTTTAGCTATAACTAATCCATTGAAATGAATTTGTTTACTTTAAAATTAAATTATAAAATATTAGGAGTCTTATATAATTTAATAATTAAGGGAATCACTATTATTTCTTAACTTCCCAATTTTCTTTTTTACCGTCTGGACTAATTATATTTTCCATCTCAACTCCGCTCACGCTATTGAGTTCATTTATGTCTACTTCTTGAAGACTATTGTAATTACTTCCACCCTGTGCTTATTAGCCATCTTCTTGACCACTCTTCATATCAGATAAGTCCTTTTGAGACATGACCATGCTCTTCTTAACCTTGTTGGGTTTCTGACCCTGAATTTCTATTCTCTGTTAATTCAGTTTTTTATCTAGTTTGTGAGGGTTATCTTCTGGCTATAGCTGGATGAATTTCAATAAACCTTCTATCGTATGAGCTGAAATGATTGAAACATCAAATGGCTTGCTCATTCTTTTATCCTCTATTTTGACACTAAACATCTTCTCCTGTCTCTCCTTTTCCTTTTGCAGATCCTCTATGATTTTTTGTTCTTTTGTTTTCCTTGATTAAGACTGCTATCTTGAAACCTAAGTATCCCCTCCCATTGCAGCTGTTGAGTTTTATTTTTAAAGTAAATTTCTTTTGGAAGTTGCTGCGCTGCTTACAATTGACCTCCCTCTTGATCTGGTAGCAATTTTTGGGGGCTTTCCTTAGTTTTATTCAAGCTTTTCTAGCAATTTAGCCTCTAATCTTTGACCTCCTTTACCTCCCAAAAGATCTTGTCCAAGAATAGCTATTCTAATTAGAGCTTTCTTGAAATCTTCTAAATTAAGGGAGTTCACTCCTGTACCAATCTCGTCTATTTCTTTCTGTGAAAGCTCTTCTCTCTTCTCTCTTACAAGTGCTCTGAATATCATTACCATGTCATCATTAGGTACGATTGTAGGTGTAATATAGGTTTAGTAGCCGAACTTTATAAACTCATTAAAGTTAACCATCTGCATAAGCTATCCAAGATTGAAGCTAATTTCCTTTTTGTCCTAAGATGCATAAAATTTAAACAAGTACTCGAGTGCCTTATCAAATTTTATGAACACTGCCTGTACATCTGGTTGGCTGTAAAATTCCTTAATTTATTGTCTTTCCCTTGCCTCTGCCTTAAGAGAGTCTTTATTTTACTTAATATAAGATTCCATCTATGTTTTCACTTTATGTTGTTTCTCTTTTTTCCACTCCTCAAACTCTTATTTAGCCTTCTCGGTATCTTCTTGCTCCTTCTTTCGCTTTGAAAACTCCTATCCAAGTTTTTCCTTTTACTTCTGCATAAACTCTTTCTAGTTTTGCTTCTTAGCCTAAATCTCCTAAAAATTCTTAAATTCCTCATCCTACTTCTACTTCTAAAGTTCCTCCAACTTTAGCTTTTTAGTGTCCTCGGTAACGATTTTCCTCTATTCCATTTTTTTCTTAAGCTCTTCTTTTTGCTATTTAGCTTTTTCCTTTTCCTCCTTTTCTCTTTCATATTGAGCTTTCTTGGTTTCTTCTATTTAAACCTTCTTTCCATCCTTTAGTTTTTCCATTTCCTCTTAGAGTTGATGTTTTCTTTTGAGCCTTTTTTCCTCTCTCTGCTTTTCAAGTTCTCTTTCTTCTAACTCTTTCAACTTTTTGTCTTCTTTGGCTTTGTTCCAAACATCCTTAGTGAATTTAATCTTTTCTCTTTCAGGCAATTCCTCCTTGCCCTATTCAACCGCGAGTAAAATTTCCTCTAATACTTCAGCTGTTTCCTATAACTAATTTCTGTCAGCTGCTGTACTATAATTTTTTGATAGTTGATACAATGCTAATTTCAAATCAACTCCTAATTAAGGTTTCTTATATTATTCAACTGGTACTGGCTTAGGTTACATCTAATTTTAAGATTAATTTGCAGCTACAAACGATTTCTTCTCCACTGGTCTCATATATTGAATACTAGCATTTTACTGTGGCATAATGTTTGAGACTTGCTTTATCCTAGGTTTAACTTTAACCCTTTATTCATAACTGACTAGTGCTTCCAAAATATGGAAACCCATATTTTCACTCATTATCTGGTCTAGGACTTCTAGGCAAATCTTCTTATTCTCATCTATTTCTAAATAGCCAGGCAATTCATACTTAAATATTTGCTCTTTCTCAGTTACTTTATAAAACCCTTCTGGTATCATCATCTCAGGATTATCTCTCAATCTTTTATTCATTTCTTTTAGTACATCCTAATCACCAATAGATGTAATATCTGGGTCCTCATAGAGTAAGGTACTTTAACCTCTACTTCTTGTTGCTTTTTCAAAGTGCTAGATTAATCTCAGTACCATCTCAGAGGGCGACAAGTGAGAATAGTTTTTTTGATAGATAAAGTGTGCTATTTAAACAACAAGCTGCATATAAGCCCCGAAATCTAGAGCACTTAGATCCAATCTTCTATAGAGTTTGTTATTTAAAAGTCTTATTATTGTCTGTAATTGATCCTTATTTATCATATTTTGATTTATGTCATGATCTCTGAGCAGTTTATTAACCTCCGCTAAATTGATTGTTTTATCTCCATAGTAATCGAAGCTTTAGACTTTCTTGTGTTGTGATCTGCTCATTGCATACTTGTTAAACAGGAACTTAAAAGGCTTTTGATACTTTTACAGGAGGATTTTAACGCCATCTTTTTCTCTATCCTCTTCATCATTTTCCAAATCTAAGAGTCTCATATTGTCCAAATCTGCTTGCTTGGTAGGCTTAGCAGATGCTTGGTTTCTAGGAGTTTCTTAAGTTGCCTGATATACAGCAACTTGTTAATTATCTTCTTTTCTTATAAGACCCATCTCGTATTTTCTTTTTTGCAGTTCTTCTTGAAGGTTATGCTTCTTCTTTTCATCTATAGCTTTCTTCTTTTCTTCATCCATCTTCTGTTTGAAAGCTTTTTCGTCTCTCTTTTACTTGATAGTCTCAATTTGCTGTAATGCTTTTTTCTCAATTGGATTTTTAGGTTCTTTATGAATCCAAGGAACTAAAGCTCGCATCGCTCCTTAAGAATTTTATCTTCCAGGGCTGCCAGGTTGGCCAGATGCTTAGGAAGCATTTTCAAAGTCTCTTTCTGAATAATATCCTTTCTAATCTTTGTTTTCTTAATGATAATATTTTGCCTTGATTCTTGCAACTTCTTCAACACGAGCAGCTTTAGCAACTCTTTTTTCTTCATCCTCTACTTATTTTTTCTCCATGTCATCCATTTGCTTTATATAATCATCCATTGCTACTTTACCCTTAGCGAACCAAAATTCTAGCAAATGAACTAGTCCCTTATTCATTGTACCATAGAGTTGCTTATGTCTTCTGTTTATACTTAAAACCATATCTTTAATTTGATCGTTAAATTCTTCAGAAATCTTCAAATTCAGGATTTTCTTTGTAATTGTAACTATATTGTACCTTCTAATTTTTTTAGTATGATCATCTTCTTCCGCCAAATTATGACCATCTGGTCCTTGAGAAGATGGTAAAGCTAGTTATTTGGGTTTGCCTTTAGTCTAAACTAATTCAAAAGCTCTCTTAAGTGATAAAACTGATGTCAAAGTTATTGAAACAAATTTCATTAAGAAGTCTTAGATATTGGGATCTTACTAAAATCTATCTGCCAAGATGACTAAAGGTACAGAGGCAGGCTATGCCCATAGAGGACTATTCAAGTATATCTTCGCAAATTGATCCATTAGTTATAATCCAAACGGGGAGGCAGTCAGTTTCGGGTGTTTGGCTAAATCTGAATAGAATTCAAAGTCAAAAATATTGAGAGGATATGGCTTCTCATTTACTTGCATTATTCTTAATAGTGGCTCTACTAGAATAATCACTGGAATACTTTAATGGTTCTGGTAAATTTCAGAAAAGCTATGCATCATGAACTCTCTTGTGACCTCGTCCTCAATATTCTCGATTAATGAGAACGTTAGTATTTTATAGAGTACAGGTGCTTAATTATTTCTGATCATTGCAAATTAGTCTAATAACTTAAATATTAATCCTAATGTTGAGATCCTAAGAGGCCTACTCTGATCTCTGCAACCTCTTTTAAAAACTTTAAGCACAGTTTCCAAGAGTGTTTAACCTTCTTCAATAATATTTTTATTCTCTTAAATTAGGCTAGGTTCTAGCGACCATATCTCAGCTAATAAGGATAAGCTTTGAGCTCTAAGCAATTGCTCAGGTTTCGTATCAGGATCACTGTTTTAAATGCATTCTTAAATTATTCCACTTTCATATAGAAGTATATTAACTGTGTCTTCTTTATTCTATCTCATTATGAATGGAAGTAATTCACATAAAAGCTAGGGGAGGAAAGGCAAATTTTTCTTTGCATGATTAGTCCTTATCTCTGGTATTATTTTATCGAATTATCCTCTGAATGTTGAAACGATTTAAAGAGTAACGTTTTCTACTATTTATGGATGCTTATTTAATGCATATAATGTTGCCTCGAAACCCCCTCCTAATTAGCCATTCTTTTGAGTAGGTACTTGCACAAACCACTAATATAAGTCATTTAGTTAGCTGTTGTTATCAAAGTCCTAAGCTATCTTAGCAAAGAGCTTGCTTGTCCATTCTGCTACAGTTAAAGATTCAGAAAAAAATCCACATTTCAAAGCATTCAAAAGCATGTAACCACCCTGATTATTATTTTCACCATGAAAAGTTTTAGTTGCAAAGGATTCCATTGTTAATGCTGAGAGATGCTTTGATGTTGTGTAGATGAGTTGATACCAATTCAAGATTTATTCATAGTTACTCTTTACACCTTTTATGCAGGCATGAAGCAGGTAGTGATTATGATTTGTTAAAAGACCTGCTGCTTACTTTGGCTGCAATGAAAGAGCTTGGCAAAGTGAAACAATAATATACTCCAATGTGCTTTCAGTTTCATTCAAAGATCTATCTGGGTTTAGTGAGACAATATCGATAGGCTGATCTCCCTCTTTTTGCTTCTTTCTTTTAGATATAGATCTATTGCCAAGCTTCATATCCTCTACCATTTTCTTTTCAAACTCAGTTATGCTCTGAATAACCTCTAGTATGCATTCATGATCTCCTGAGACTATAAGACTCTTCTAATCAGGGTCAATTTTAATCCCAAGTTGTTTCTAATTTATTAAGGGATTTATCAATTACTTCACATTCTTTGAGAATGGTATTCCAATTGAATAATCTTGAAGTGGGATTATGAGAACTCTTCAATCCACCCAAAGCCACTGTATTTAACTTTTCAATTGGCTTAATCTAATCATAAAATTATTAATTTGCAAAAATTCTGAAGAAATTACTTAATTAAGCTTTAGCAAGTACTGTGCCACAATGAATCCACTTTCAAGTTGCTAAGTTTACTGTCTATCTAGAGTGACTCTTCCTTAATCCATGTATTGTTTCTAAGAGGGCTCATCTTTCAGCAGCAATAAGTGAGCTGAAGTGAAATGATTAAAGAGCTCTGTAGGTATTTCCATTAATTTTAAATTTTATATTATTCAAAAGATTATTAAAAAGTTGATTGCTGGGGTTTTGGGGTTTTGGGGG